TGAACTTCGACCAAATTGATTTATTTATTTATTTAAAAAGGTTTCGTAAAGATCAGAGTTTAAAGGATATATCAAAGTCCTTTTGTAATAACAGGCTTACCTGGCTTCCCACAAGAAAGTGTCATGTGCTCAGATCATTTCCAGATCTCTGACTTTCAAGTGTTGGCGAACAATAGAAGTCGAGGGCACCAAGCCAACTTTAATACCATACTGTATTATTGTTCTGCAAGCTTTTCTTTTACATCATGGAGAAGGCAAACTAGCGAATGTCATCCTGACGGTAAGTAAACTGTGGCCCATGGACATTTACGATCTCAAGGCCAACAAACTACAAATTGAAAATGCGTTGCCAACCTAAGATACTAAGACTAACATGTAATGCCCCGTGCCACCAGCTTGCTACATATTTATTTATCTATGCGTGCCATCCGTAAAATGTTGTATATGTAGTATAGTGTAGTATCTGGTTAGTCATAGCTCAAAAAATGTTCAAAGTGAAATATAATTTTCTAGAGCCATCAATTATTATTTACTCTACCAGGTGACAGATTGTCATCTTACGATGTCATTAGTGCCACTCTCACTATTCCTGATTTCTTGACATCTGCATGTACAACAAAGAGTATAATAAGTATATACAGATGTACAACATCAACTTCTCTACGTGCGAGTTTCCTTTTTATAGTTTACTGTAGATAATATGATTGATTAAAATAAATTGATACATATTTATCAAATAGTAATTTATACTATTTCAATATTAAGATTGAACAAGTTGCATAGTAATATGATATCAGCATAATGTATACTATTATTTTTTAGGCGTAGTCAAAGGAAACATCTAAAACTCATAATCCGATTGCCACCATTGTACTTAATAATAATAATAATAATATAAAAGCTTTATATAATGGATTTCCGCAAAGTAACGCCTGATTCTATTAAAATTCAGAAGTGAAAAAGAGATAGTGGACAGCTAAAAGTATGTCTGTGTGTGTGTGTGTGTGTGTGTGTGTGTGTGTGTGTGTGTGTGTGTGTGTGCGCGCGTGTGTGAGTGTGTGTGTGTGTGTGTGTGTGTGTGAGTGCATGCGCGTGCGTGCGCGTGCGTGCGTGTGCATGCGCGTGCGTGCGTGTGCGTGTGCGTGCGTACGCGTGCGTGCGCGTGCGTGCGCGTGCTTGCACGTGCGTGTGCGCATGTGTGCGTGTGTGTGTGTATGTGTGTATGTACTTACACCAAGAAAAAGAAAAGTTCACCATCATAGCCTATATTATAAAAAAAATATTAAAAGATTCCAACCTAAACCTCTTTTTTTTTAAAGAAAAAGTTGCTGGCTCGAAATAATTTCTTCAGAATCTGGACAAAAATCTTTGATACATTAAGAATAATGAATGCTTTTGAAAAATTGTCGTTAAAGAAACAGAACTTATGAAGCGTTAACTAAACAAAAAAAATGTAAAAGTGGGATAACAAATATGCAAAACATAGTATTTCAAACATCAATTAACTGTCTATACTGATAAAAGAATTTATTAGTAATGAAAAAAGCGAACCCACAAAATTCGTTATATATATACAGATTATTCCAAAATTCGAGGTCAAGCCGGAATCGAGTGATAGGACAAATCATAATAGTTACCAGAAAAATATAAAAAAATGTTAGTCATATATTTTTTAAATTACAGTAACTTCTTTTTTTTCAATACAGTCAGTAAAGTTGGGCGAAGTATTAATTTTTCTTGGTTTGGATAACTGTGACATTTTCTTCTAAATTGGAGCAGTTAGCTAAGAATTAAAAACAACAGGTTACAGACGCACTACCCAAGATTACACAGAAGATTTGTAGCTAAAGGAGATAAAAAACCATTACATGCTGTACATTTTTCAAAAAAAAAAAAAGAAAATACATTAATTTAAAAAATACGTGACTAAGATTTTTTTATATTGTTCTGATAACTATTATGATTTGTCCTATCACCTGATTCCGGCTTGACGTCGAGTTTTGGGACAGCCTGTACATAAAACTAATCTATTTTAAAACCAGTGATAGAAAACTATCATTAACATTATTAGTTAAATGATAGCTAATTATAGTAGTAATAAATAAATGACTATGTTTATTTTTATATCCACCTTTTCATCGATAATGCGTATCGACAGTTGCTTAATCCATGGAATATAAAAAACAAGAGGAAGCCCAAAGTGGGCGGAACAGGCGAGTCAGAATTAGTGACAGCAGAGCGTAATTGAATATCAGTCGCAGGCTCAAATGGTTGCGAGCGGACGGATCGCTGTTTAAGTGATTTATGCGAAAATATGCCGTTTTGGGCAAAATTAGAGTGTAAAAACGAAAGTAAAAAGAATAATATTTTGAATGGAGGAGTTTCGCACCAAACGCACGTGTAATTTTTTCCTTTTTTGGGTAGATACTTGACTAGACATGGACAAAATATCAAATTGCTTTTATTACAAGTAATATTCAACCTTATTTCGTTATGTTAAGGTTTATCTGTAAATACATTTTGAATAAAATAGCTGCGATAGTGTTGTGACTACGCCGATATTAAAGTTTTCGATAAAATTTTATCACAATCCTGTTCATCCACTAACATATTAATGAAAATTTGCAAATACTGGATGTCTATGAAAATATTCGAAATTATAGGTTGATACCCTACGAATGAACTTTTGTTCTAGTTGCTAAGCCAAAGAAGTAAGTAAGTAGTTTAGTAATACTCACGACTTTTGGAAAGAAGCTGAAATAAAAGTTATCTTAATATCATGATCTACATTAGTAATTGAATTAATTATCGTCTTTATGTTAATCTTAAAGTGTGAAAACGATATTTTTTAACAAATATGTGTTATTTTAATGACAATAAATAATTGCAAAATTATTGTTTTTATAATTTTCCTTGTGTCCATTTCATAAATGATAATTTAACTAACAATAAATAAATTTCCAATAAAGACAATTTATCATATGCCGGCTATATGAATTATGGGAATATACGTAATACATCAAGACAATTTCCAATAAATTTTGCAATTTTAATCATTTTATCATATTTTATTCAATTCTGTTTCTTCAGTCAATACATTTCATATACATCATAATAATCATATACTGAATATCGATATTAACTAGATCACTTTCAGGGGGACTAACTAAATCACTAACATCATTCACGTTACAGTATAGGTTAGGTAGGGCAATGTCAACATTATATCTACTGTCATTATATCTATAATAGTGTGCAATTATAATTGCAATTTATTATTACGCTAAGAAGCTAAATTTGCTCATTAATTCTAGAAACCTCGTTGTTGAAAAGTAATATGATCTCTATTTTTAAGAAAATATGTTTTGTACTCAAGTGAATGGTGAGTAATATAATGCCTTTCTCTTTTATTTTTAATAGTCAATCACGCAAAAATTATTGTAATGTTACACAATTGACGGTACACATTTCTTTCTTGTTGCAGTATAGGTTAGGTAGGGCAATGTCAACTTTATATCTACTGTCATTATATCTATAATAGTGTGAATTTATTATTGCGAATTATTATTATGTTAAGAAGCTAAATTTGCTCATTAATTCTAGAAACTTCATTGGTGAAAAGTAATATGATCTCTATTTTTAAGAAAATATGGTTTGTACTCAAGTGAATGGTGAGTAACATAATGCCTTTCTCTTATATTTTTAATAGTCAATCACGCAAAAATTATTGAAATGTTACGCAATTGACGGTACACATTTCTTTCTTGCGTATGTGTGATTTTGGCGACAGTGGTTCTGCTGCAAATTATTCGTTTTGCTACTTCCTCTTGTTTTTTTATATTTCATGGTTAAATCCATGGCTGTATTCAACTTATCAGTCTAGTTCCGTCACTTCATTACACTGTTATGACACAGAATATATCATTTAGTGAGATTTAGTTAGAGTGAGATTAAGTGTGAGTTTCGTAGCGACAGACGATTATTCTTGTGTGTTAGCCTGAGAAAGTGTGCATGGTGCAAATCCAACAAAAAATTATAAACAGTTTGGTATCGGAAAATAACACTATGGCTTCTCCTCTCCTGTGTTGCTCTATGCTTGGTGTTGATTTTTAAGTTTCTTGATAAAATATAAAAAGAAAGAGTAATCGAAAATGTATCAAAACCTGGTGTCTACAGTTGGCCCCTACCACGCACATACTACTACACATGCAGATCAGTAAAAACAATAGATACGCAGACGCGCACACACCCACACTTTATAAATCAGAACGTACTACACAATCAATTATAAACCTTATCCCGACAAACACAGCGTGCAATTACCAATAAGAGCAAGAAATATATTACGATTTGTTGTTTTTCATGATTTTAAAGATAAATATAGTAAAATACATATGGTAAGTGATTCCGTGATTTACAAAGTTTTTGTTTTCGCTTCGATTTATACCCTGACTAACCACTGAATAACACGACATTCTGATAATGTTTCACGATGACGGTCGAAAGCGCACTTCTTCGCTGAGACGGCCATTTGTATAGAACTGGAGCATTTCAATCATAGCACGCAGATATACCCGCCTCCTTTCCATTGCCACTTCACCTGTTTTTTATATTCTAATGGTGTAGCTGCGCTAACACTTCTTATTAGTTTGTGTTTGTGGGTGTATCCGGTGCCTTATACAGATCATTAATATTACAGAGTATTTAATCAATATTCACTCAGCTGATGTCAGCATGCGTAAGCATCATATTAGTCTGTGTTTGTGGACGTAGAGTCAGACCATAGACCAAGTAACATATGTCAGAATAATGACTTAATTACATTTGCGATTTGTTTGATTGCATTCTATTTTGAAAAAGAAAATTCTAATTTGATCGTTCCATTTTCGAATTAGCATTCTTTAATTCTTTTACTATACATAGTTTTTTTAGGCAAATAATTTTCGATTCTTTTTTTATTAAGTTGTCTTTATTCTTCACAGTTATTTTAACTTTTGATTATGGATCCGATTGCTATTCTACAAAACAGAATAGAACAATTAGAAGCTAAATTGGGTTTGGCTTTAAATAATCCAGCCGATGGTCAGCAGGAAGATTCTGCTACAGCTAATTTACTGAATGCGGCTCAGTCGATCAACAATGCTACGGCTGGTCATGAGAAGCTTTCCGAAAGTATGCAGAGAGCTACTGAATTAAACAACTACACTGACCCCAATTTCGTTGAAAATGTAGGCTTTGCTTTGATAATGTTTGATTTTCCTCTACACCACTAAGGGCATTTTTAACGTTGTATTATTTTTATAGATGCAGCAAAATAATATGAATATACAAGAAGTTCTGGCTGCAGAACCTATAATTAAACACCATTGTCAATGTATGCATCGTTGCAAGCAGGTAAAGTTGACTGAGAATTTATAGCTTGTTATATTATTTTATGTATATATATGCATTACAAGGAATAGGAATATAAAAAAAATAGTGTCTGAAAATAGCTTGAGATTTTTGTAGTTTGCTTGTTTTAAGGCTAACATTCAACAACTGAATAAAAATATTCATTACTTCAAAAGATAATCTCAACATAAAAATGGCTTAGCTTTAGAAAAGCCACTTGAAATACATATTTTACTATAGATATAAAAGGGATAAGTAAAGATGTAGAAAGCACTTCTGATACGGCAACCCAATGGAGGAAGGAAGCCATGTGAGGGTAGGGGAGGGGTTTCCCCTGCAGTGGGATCAATGTGCATATGAACATAGATTTTGAGAAAAATAATAATAAATATTTGAGATTTCTGCAAAAATATCTTGAATAAAAGCAGGAATTGCAGAGGATGCATTAGGGGGAGGAGGGAAGTTCCCTCTGAGGTGTATACTATCTTATTGCATTAATAATAAAGAATATATTTAGCTTATTTTACTTTAGGGTGGATAAATGGAATAACCTTAGAAATTGCTAAAATAAATAGTGTTTTATTATATTAAATCTAAATAACGCCACATTAATAGATCCCTATCCTGGTGAAGCCGGATAGTGAAATAGCAGATGGCTGTCAAATGTATTTTCCTTTCACTATTATGATAATGTATTATTTTATAAAAATCATACTTTTTAAATCATCAATGTACAAACTTAGCTTATTAAAATTTGTGAAATGTAACATTTTGTTGTGTGACATTTGTCATTAGGTTCAGTTACTTTTTTAGGTAGAATTTTATAATATTTTTGCAAAGAGATTCAAAGGCTTATAGAGATGTCATTGGAAGCATTATACAAGACTTTGATCTATGTACTAGATTAAGCAAAACCATGTATTAAAATAAGTAGAACAAACTTCAGGGCATTTAGTATATTTTCTTCAAAAATTAGTTTATTTTAGCTAAAGTTATTGCATTTAAATATAACCTCATGGTTATAGTAGACTGAGCAAATAGTTACCTATAAGTAACATCTAATAAATCATAATTTTGACTGCTTTTCCATTTATTACTCGTTAATATTTAAATGTCTCTGTAGATTAAATTTTTTCTAAAAATTATATCTCAAAAGCCATGGATTTCAGAACTTTGATATTTTGGTATTTGATACATCTTGACTCAGCTATAAATATAGCAATCCTGAATTTTGGGTTTATTGTGTACTAACCAATTTCTTCCATATAACTTGTTAACCTTACTATACTTACTGACGAAAGAATGTTATAGAACTAAAAATAAAAAAAATCTTAAAATTTATCCTTTTTACGATTTGCCCCTATTTGGCAATATCTGCTTTGATTTAAAAAAAAATATATAATTTTTTTTAATTTGTTCCTCCCTCTGCGGAGCTGCTGTTTTTACAATGCTTCCTAAATAATACCACAGAGCAAATACAAAGAGTAGGTGTTGTAGTATGGTTCTGTATTCTCTATGTAACAACGCGTGACAATTTGTGGGGTGAGGGGGTGTTAAGCCCCACCCACTTAACTATTTTCCATCTACCGATAAATAGTGAAACTACTCGTATTGTACCATATCGATGTTGCAATGTAGTTTAGCTAACTTGAGGATATGGTATGATGGTGGACTGTTCACAAAATGATTATAAAAGCTATAAAGATAATATTTTGGTGATTAAAAATTCTTTAGGACTGAATGCATAACAAATTTCAGCACCTTCATATGATTATTTTACCAATACTAAGCTGTACATACTTTTATATTTTTAATTCCCGTGACACAAAGTGTCGCCATCTAGTGTCGAATATATTTAATTATATTTGAAAGCCGACGCAGTGATTTTTCTAGAACTGTTTTAATAAACTGGGTATAAAATTCTTACAAATGATATGTAATGCCATCCATAGCATATGAGCGTCTATCGGAGTAGTTTTTACACAATAAAACACAACACTTTATCCTTTTCTTCTTAATACTATGAAAATACACTGATTTGCGATTTTCGACACATAAGCGCACAGGACGAACGCGGACAGTATACTAACTAAAGCCACAATGCAATGACGTCAGGATCTAGTTGAATCACAGTGCACAGTTGCTTAGGCCGTTTCCTCTTTGTGTTTGCTCCCTGAATAATACTCATTTTGTAGTTTCTTAAAAACCATCCTGAAAACTGTGATATCATCTCTACTTATTATTGCAACTGCACAGACTAAAGAAATAGTCTAGCTTTAGAGCAGACAAGTACTAGGTTCGGGAGTATACCCATAGCTGCAATAGGCAACAGCGTAAAAGGTGCGAGACATCTTGTGCTGTATTGCAATTGTCAATTTTTCTGCCAAGTGTGATGATTGAGGCAAATCTTCCTTACGACAGGCAAATCCCAGGGGCAGCTGTGGACTGTACGGGCTGATGAAGAAGAAGCATAATTTTCCACTTACTGTGACAGTGTTTCACTGCAGGCGAAATTCTTTGTATAACCCATCCTCTTTCTGTCATCCTTGCTTCTATCTAGGAGAAGGCAATACTTTACTCACCAGCGCCATATTCCCTTTGGGAGTCCATCCACAAGAAAGGATTTTTCCCTTTATTCCTAGTAGCAAGTTGTGCCGGCGCGTCTTCCTATACAACTTCCATCTTCGTGTATGGACAACCCTATCAAGTCTGTTATGCAGAGCCTTGGGGCCAGGGAAAATGAGTTTTCCTTCTTACAAAATTGATGTGACAAAAGAACTTACAATCTTGCAATTTTAAGTGGCTACTGCAGTTCATGGACTCATGCAGCCAACTTTAAACAAAGGAGGCGTCAGATGCGTTGTCACTTCTTAGGACTAAGATGGAATGCCTCACAGTTTGTAATTACATTGGTATACCTTCCAGTGCGAAACACAGTAGTGCAAGCAATGCCATTTGGCGGTTAGTATTGCTATTTGACGGCAGAAACAGGCAGAAAATGAGTCCTAAAACCTAGATATACTTAAAGACCCCGAAGATCGACACGTAAATAATACCCTCCTCTCCCTCCGCGGTCCTATCACCACAGTAACAGTGGCATGGTCCTACCAGTTACGGAGAAAGGGTGAGTGAAAAGAAGTGGTGGTATCACTCTTTACCCCCGTGACTTTACTTCGGCTGTGGAAGGTAGGAGAAGACCACACAGAGTCAGCATTCTAAAACTTACCTTTGTATTGCAAATAATATTTTTTATTTCAGGCTGCCCCTGTATTGGAGTCCGAAGCTATTCAGCAAGTGCCTCAGTTACAGAAAACTGTAGACAAAATGCATGCTGCAGCTACAGAAGTAAAGGCCGAAGCAGATTTGGTATGTTCCTTATTAATGTACTAGCTGTGTGTAAATATAAAAAAAAATAACTCGATCACAGTGCTACCTATCGGGTCTAGGTTTCTTTTTCTTTTTTGGTACTAAATTAACAAAAAAAAAGGGTTCGCTAATTTTGTGAAGGAAGGTGATTAAGCAAGTCTACGGCGATAAATAGTCCCTTAAATGCGGTATTACTCTTTTGGAGTCTAAAGTACTTCTGTGCTCTTTTTTCAAATTTAAGTATGTCATTACTCCAGAAAACATGCGGTTCTATCTATATAATTATATGGTATCTCTCGATATATTAGGAGACCTTGGTATCTCTCGACTTCTCTTTGAGAGAATTCGTATTCATACACAATATCATTTTCTTCGACACTTATATACTTATTATTTTATAGGTGTCTCATGGTATACAAGAGTTGGCAGAGACTTGTGGCACTGCAGCATCTAGAGCTTCGGAACAATTAGCAGAAGTTGCCCAAAAGGTCGAGCAGGTAGAGAACAAGATGTTTCCCAAGAGAAGAAATGGCTTAGATTAATATCAATTTCCGATGACGCTATTTATTTATTGTGATACTTTTATTGTATTATTATTTGAAAGAGAAATTATATAAGTAGTATTATTAATGCTTTTGTACAACTCTAATTAAAATAACCTTAAAGCAAATATTTTTTTTAATTCTCGAGTTTGTGCAATAATAGTTGTTTTAAAAGATTGTATGTCAATTTGCAAGTTTCAAAATATCCATGAAAGCATATTCCTAAAGAGGATTTCAAATAAGTAATGTGACTCGCGAGTTGAGTGCAGAGCTTAGGAATGCGCTAGTGTTGTGACCTAATTGGTAATTAATTAGTGATATTATGTCGATAAACTGCAAATAAATATAAATCTTAGTGTGAATGTTTGTATAAAATTTAAAATATTGAATAAAACACAATAATAATTGTCAAAGTATTATTTATTTCTTAAATAGAGAAAAATAGTGTTTAACCATCATTACTCATCAGATTCTAAAATAAAAGACAATCGTCATCATCACTCTCCTCTCCTTTGCTGAGCTTTATCACAAATCGATCGTTTCTTCCATTAGGCCATCTCTTTGCCAATAATTTTGTTCTAAGCTATTACATGATCGTTAAAGCCGTGCCAATTTTCCTCTGTGATCATAGTAAATGCTAGTTCTGCAACATATTTTAAAGTTTCGTTAAAGTTAAATCTGATTTGACATTGTGATGACTAACAACTCTTCCTTTTTGGCCAAGCCAACTCAATCGGGTTGAGATCATACATATACGGTGGTAATCTAACTCCGACATGGCCATGGCTACTTATGAATTGATTTACTTTAAATGTCTTTTCTCTAGGCTTATGGAAATCAATGAAACGAAAAAGCTTGTCTTTTCGCATAGTGAGAGACGCATGCACATTATTTTTATTACTATTCGTTCTATATCCTTTTCATGTGTACTCTCTGGTAAATACACAGCCTAAACTCAAACTCAGGCACTTCACACCTAATCTAAGTCCTTATACCTTCCATTCTTATTTCACATACCGTTTTACTTTCTTCACTTTTATAAATTATCAGTTGCGTTTTATTTGCTTTTACTTTCATAACCCTTTGTTTTAATGATACTTTCATTAATGTTACCATCAATTGCAGCTCGTCCGCCGAAGACGCAAATACTACTTCGACATTTAAAGTTTTCAAACAATTGTCCATATATACAGATTGAACAGCCACGGGCATCTAAGCTACACAACCCTGTCTGGCGCTATTATGGATGCCAAACCAGTTTGAATAGGTTCATTGATCCTGATACGAGGGTGGATTGAAAAGTACTCGGCCTAACACAGATCCATTCAATTCTAAAAATCAAATCTACCCACATTATTTAGTTCAGTTCAGACTAGTTCATTGTGTGAAGTTCGAAACGTGTGCGATAATTAGTTGTGATTTTATAAATTTATTAACAAAGTAATCGGACATAATTTCCGCGAATGGAGCAAATCGAGCAGCGTGCCGTCATTAAGTACCTCCATAAGAAGGGGCTATCATCAAAAGCCATCCATGATGACATGGTCAATACATTAGGCGATTGTGCTCTGTCATATTCATCCGTCAAAAAATGGATAGCAGAATTTAAGCGTGGTAGAGAGAGTGTGAAAAATGAACCCCGCTCTGGAAGGCCTTCGACGTCAACTACTGACGAAAATATTAAAAAAGTACTTGATTTAATAATGGGAGACCGCAGATTAAAAATTAGAGAGATAGCCGAGATTATAGGCATCTCTTATGAACGAACTCAAAACATCATTGTCAACGAGTTGGGTTTCCACAAGGTGTCTGCAAGGTGGGTTCCGCGACTGCTTTCAGTTGAACAAAAAAGGACGCGATTGACTATTTCACGCGACTGTTTGGAGTTATTTGAAGCCGATGCAGATGATTTTTTGAATCGTTTTGTTACTATGGACGAAACATGGGTTCATTACTGTACACCGGAAACAAAACAACAATCAAAACAGTGGAGAAGACCTGGTTCACCACCCCCTAAAAAGGCTAAGTCGATTTTGTCGGCAAATAAGGTGATGGCTTCAGTATTCTGGGACTCGAAAGGTGTGATTATGATTGATTATCTTGAAAGGGGTTAGAATATAAACTCTGATTACTACTGCACCTTACTACGTCGTTTACGAGAGGAAATAAAAGAAAAACGTCGAGGAATGCTCAGAAGAAAAGTCCTGTTTCATCAAGATAACGCCCGTGTTCACACGTCAGTACAGTCAATGGCTGAAATTCACAACTGTGGCTTTGAACTGTTACCGCATCCGCCGTATTCACCTGATCTGGCACCATCAGACTTCTTTCTGTTCCCTAACCTAAAAAAGCACTTGGGAGGTCAAAGATTTTCGACAAACGACGAGGTCAAAGCAGCTGTAGACGCATGTTTTGACTCTAAGGAAGAATCATTTTTTTTCAACGGTCTAAATGCTTGGAAGGGGAGGTGGCAAAAGTGTATTGAACTTGATGGTGATTATGTAGAAAAATAAAAATATAACTGATTTAGTATTTGTTTATTTTCTTGGTTAGGCCGAGTACTTTTCAATCCACCCTCGTATAACCACTAGAATCCTTATAAAGAGATTTTAATGCCTGTATCAGCCCAGTGCTCAACCCAAACGTGGCTAGCTTTTGGCCATAATGTCCACTATGTCGTAGGTCATTTCGAAGTCTAAAAATGCACTGAAAATTTACTGTTTGTAGCCAAAAACTTCTCTGTGATCATGCGCATAGAAAAGAATTAATGCATACATCTCAACCACTTACACCACCAAGTCCAACTTGCACATACCAAAAATTTCAATCAATTTCATAACTCGTCCAATCATCACCTTTCAATGAAGTGGACGATATGGATGATAAGATTGTGGAAACTGTCCATGCGGTCGGAACTAAGTTCTGTAAGACCCTTCGCAGAAGTACACAAAACTCCGATCACACTCTTAATCTCATGGCTCTTAGACGGGAGATGAAGCTGCAGTCAGATCTGAACAGACAGATCTCCAAATGCATGCGGCGGGACTTGCGCAACTTCAATACAGCTCGTATTGAAGAAGCGATTGAGCGGAAGCAGGTCTCCAAAGTATGCCAGAGATCTGTCTCTCAGAAAGAGCCAACTGTCGAAGGCAGCATCATTTCCGGGCCACCTGCGATTTTGAGTAAGATTGAGAGGTTCTACGAGAAGTTGTACACGACATCATTGGAGCCACACGCAAGTGTGAGTAACGATCCAAGAGCAAGTCTTATCCGATACTATTCCGATGATATCCCAGACGTCAGTCTGAGCGAAAATAGAATGGCTCTCCAGCAGCTTAAAAACAGCAAGTCCCCGGGCGAGGATGGAATTACAGCGGAGCTTCTGAAAGCGAGTGGAAAACCGGTACTTAAAGTCTTTCAGAGGCTCCTTAATTCCGTGCTCCATGATGGCACTACTCCGGAGTGGTCTTGTTCTTCAAGAAAGCCGACAACGCCGCACGCAGACGAAACCCCCGAAACTCTTCACTGCTGCATTGGAAGACGTTTTCAAAATACTGGACTGGAAAGATACGGTATTAACGTCAATGGCGACTACATCACTCACCTTCGATTTGCGGACGATATAGTCCTTATGGCAGAATCGCTGGAGGACCTAAGCACTATGCTCAATGACCTTAATAGTGTCTCCCAACAGATAGGTCTTAAGATGAACACGGACAATATAAAAATCATGTTTAACGTCCATGTCACATCTCCTATGTCGGTAGTTGTTGGGAGCACTAAGCTCGAAGTTGTTAGACTCGACTAGGTAAGTCCAACTTCGCCCGAGAGGTCAATCGCCGGATTCAACTCGGCTGGGCAGCGTTCGGGAGATTACGATACATCTTCTCGTCAGACATGCATCAAAACCTTAAAACTAGAGCGTACTACCAGTGCGTGTTGCCAGTGATGACCTATGGATTCGAGACGTGGTCCTTCATTGCTGGCCGTATGAGGAAGCTCAAGGTCGCTCAGCGAGCTATGGAGAGGGCTATGCTCGGGGTTTCTCTGCGTGATAAACTTAGAAATGAGGATATCCGCAGTAGAACCAGAGTAACTGACATAGCCCAACGGATTAGTAAGCTGTAGTGGCAGTGGGCCGGGCATATAGCTCGAAGAACCGACAACCGATGGGGAAGAAAGGTCCTCGTGTGGCAGCCTTCCCCCTACTAGATGGAGTGACCTGGTAAGACATGCAGGAAGTCAATGGGTGCAGGTGGCTTGGGACCGTGCTTTGTGGCATTCCTTGGGGAAGGTCTGTGTTCAGCAGGGTACTTGTAAAGGGCTGTAAGATGAATGGTTAATGAGCTACATTCATTTTTAAATTAAACTACTCAACTCAACTTAAGTTGTGCGGAACGTTAATATTTTTAAAGAACTATCCACCAGCATTTTAAAAAATTTCATGTGTCTGATGCTGAACCATTATATCACAGCGTCGAATTGCTTTTCCCAGTCCTTCACAGACACTTCTACGGCCTTTTTAAACGCTGCTATCTTCTGGCGAAAAAAAAGTCTCCTAATCCTGGTATGTATCGCTTTCAGGTGATTTTTATTTTAGGGAATAAGCATAAGTCACACGGTGCCAAATCAAGGCGGAAAGGAGAGTGAACTGAACTGAGTGAAAAGCTTAACCAGTATGCTTTAACAGGAACGTCGTATAATCGTATGGAAAACATAGACATAGTATCTTACCTCTATCTACGATGGAAAAGTAAACAACTATTAGTTATACAAAATAAGTGATATTCATTCTGTAAATACTAGGAACAGACACATGTTATTAGTAACAGTTGCTCGACTACACCGAGTCAGTAATTCATTCTTGGGGCGATGTATACGCTTTTACAACAAAATCCAGGAAAATGTACAAAATTTAACCTACTCAAAGTTCAAAAACTTTATTAAACTAAGTTTGTATAAAAAGAGTTATTATAATATTAAGGAATTTATGGATGATA